GGCAGAGGTTGAAGTATGTTGGGGAAAAGAAATAGAGGTTGTTTGCTGTGGAGATGGTGAACGGTTTTTTGCAGATGGCGGAGATAATTGACAAATTGTGGGCAATTGGGATGGTGGAGAGAATAATTGTGGAGATGGATTTGGTCACATCATTTTATTCCTTATTAATTGAAGTCAGTTATGGTCATACACGTTTTTCCATATTTAAAGATACTTATGTTTAAACTAACATTAATGTATTTATGCAAATAGATTATACGATTTTAGTGATTTTGCAAATAAAAATATATGGACCGTAAAACTATAATAAAAATAATTTGGTGTAGTGCACAAGATAATTTCCTCCAAAAACAATGGCCACTACAATCAGAAAATCGAGGGTCTTTCACTTTCTTATTGAGTTAGGTTTACTTTTATTTATGTTATGTACCTATGTCAGATGATTTTTTCCTCGAGAAAATTGTGAATGTGTGTTACTTTTTTCAGGTTCTTTTTAAATGCCAACCAATATGCTTTTATATAAGTTATAAACATGTGATATGAACATCTCTTTATAATTGAGAATTCTCAACATATAATAATGTAATAATACTACCATAAATGAATAAAAAGATGTCTCAACTTCCATCAAGTTTTTCTCCAGTACATGTTGCCAATTATGGTTGACATATTGATTGTTCTCGTGGTCGTCAGTTGAAATATTTAAATAATTTCTGATTTACATCCAAATCTCAACTAACAAATAAACTAACACTGTGCTTGAAACTCATTTCCAACATTAATATTTTGATGAAATTTCCCTTAGTATACAAAAATACTCATCCGCATAAGTCTGAATCATTTGCAATATTATTTGATGGCAATTACAGAACTTTAGTTATAAGTGGTATTTTTGTTTTTCTCTGCAATACATTGTATTATAGAGATACATTATATCCAGTGCATTGATGCATGTAATTTGAAGTAAAATATACCATACCATATTTAAAATAAAACCACATATAAAATAAAAGTTGAAATGTATTCAATCTCTTCTTCAACCATCTTTCATAAACAGCGCAACTTCATAAATAACACAATATTCCATAATATATGAGTTACATAATCACAACATACAGTTATAATCCAACTATATAAAATGACAAACTTTAGTAAGGTAACACAAAAGGTAAAACTTGGGCTACAAGTATCAATGACCTACGCAAAATTAATCAACTCGAAAAAGGATGAAAACACCAGAAACAGCAATTTCGACCAACCTTCTTTTATGGATGAAAACTATTGTGCTGGACAGATGATAAGTAATACTCTTAAATGGGCTTCTGTAAGCAAGAAAAGTATTCTCCTTAGTGACAATAGAGCTTGATCAAAGAATCTGCACCCGCTGTGAACAGCCAAGGTTGTCTCGGGTGGAACTTGAGATCCAAAACTCCTGCAGAAAGCACACGCACATATTTAATTATAAAACGGAAAAGTTGCAAACATATAACTATAAATGAAAATACATCACATCTGCAGTATTATATGTATATATATATGTATCCACTTAAAACCATACAAATTATAGTTATAAAGCATATTTTCACTAACTAATTCTAATTATTTAAATTACTCGCACACCAGGTGAAGTAGTACTGTATCTTCAGTCAATAGACTTCATATTTGCATTCACACTCAAATTTCGAGGTGCAGATGCAGATTAGAGAGTATCTTCAGACAATAGACTTCCTATTTGCATTCACACTTAAATTTCGAGGCGCGGGTTACAAAAAATTACCTCGTCCATCAGCACTTGAATGCCCTCGAAGGATCTCCAAAGGAACAATCAGAGGGTTCTGATTTAGATCAGAATAAACCATGCCATGAAAAACATATGCCGTGCAATCATCTGAGCACGAGGCAAATAAAGGGTATGACCGATGGTAAGCAACCCCAGTAATGTCCTTTGGATGACACCTGAATATTTTGGATCAGCACACTAATTTGAAAAATAATAATAATAATAATAATAATAATAATAATAATAATACAAATTCATATATCTTGCAGCAATTTGTGGTAATTTGCGTTACAATTTCCATCATATTTTACAAAAAACTCAAATAGATTTTAACGTTCTATGATTAGTCTAACCAAAGCACAATCGGTAGCTATCTGCCCTAACATCCTTCACAGCAAATAGCATACCACTGAACCAATGATTATACGGATGCCACTGGATATCATTTTTTTTATTGACTGAAATTTGAAAATATGGGGTTTCCTCTTCCACGCAACAGCTTGCTTGACCATCAATGACGAATTAAGCCTCTGAAATGCTACTACAACTTAATTATGCAATAAAAAAAATCTCCAAAAAATATTACAGAAATTCAGCCCTCTGCATCACAATACAATCATCAAATTGCAAAGTCAACCCTCCTCAATATTTCAAACAACCAAAGCAAACTTTTGTAATGGGTGATAACACTTGCTTAATTCTTAGCTAATGATGAACGATGTCAATAACATAATCACAAGTGAGTGGGTGGAAGAAATTTAGTCATCGATATAAACTTGGTCCCCAAAGCTCCCCTACAGTTTCAATCTAGTACAGCTTTCAAGGATGCTTATCAGTGATGATAATTCTCCTCGATTCTTTATTAATGCACTTTTCAAGCTTTTGAAATAATGTCAGTCAAGTACCAATACTTTAATCTCGCAACATAACATTTGAATTATCAATTATACGGACTCAGCTTTCTCCAACAAATTGTAAAGTACCAAGGAATCTCAAAGGCACTTTTATAATGATGGTAATTAATTCGTCTTGCATACCTGAGGACTCTGTAAGGCCGAGATGACAGGTCCATGTCAAACCAACACAACTTTCCATCTTTGCTTCCAACAATGGCATTATCACCTGCATTAAGTAAGGTGAAGCATTAGGAACCACTAACTATCTGTATGTCAGTGTTTTTAGTTGGACGTGCATGTGTGTGTGTGTTGTGTGCTAGAGAGAGAGAGACCTCCAGGGTGTATAGCTATGGAAGAGATTTCACGGACTCCAGCATCAAGCTTTTTAATGAGCTTTTGCTTTAGCAAGTCATAGACGCGAACATCCTTCTTTGATGCCGTAAAGAATATGGAGCGGCTAGGATGAAAAGCTGTTGATACAGGAATTCCTTTTGTCTTGAATGGAATTCGTTGTGTTAGTCTCTTTGAGAGTTGGTGAATCAACACAGATCTTGATTCGCGTATAGTTAAGTTAAAGAAATGACAAGCGTCCAAAACAGATTACATTTATAATGTGGTAACACTTTCATATAATCTGATTTGCAATGCAGGCCGAAATTTAATCAACTATCAAATGCAGATACAAATTTAGCAAATATAAATATATAATGCCATCATGAACTAATCAATGCATTCATGGCCGCCACAAGGATATCAGATGGCATAAGTGTTGAGAGATAGTCTCCTTTACGGTGCCATTCCACTTTCGTGACAGTCTGCAATTAAATAATATTAACTACTTCAATTCCAGTGGGGAATATAAGAATACATAGCACTATAGCAGCTTCATGCCCAATATAACTTCCAAAAATGAAAGGCGAGACCCAATAAAACAGCACAGAATTACCTTAAAATGCTTCAACCTGATTCCACCATGCCTGTCATCCCGACCCCATTCGACAACGGATGTACTAATACCTGAAATGACAAAACTTGCAGCTAAGTTCGTAATATTAGACGAGGAGTAAGTATATTCTTACTCATACTGACCAGATTCTTCCACTGACTGTTGGGCCCCAACACGGAGAAGATCCTCAATCCTTTTCTCTTGTTCATCTGCTCCACATCCAGTATTCAAAATAAACACGTCTTGTCCCCTGCAGATTTTGGTGGGACTTGGTGAATAATGATACTCAACAAAAATCCAGTAGATAAAAGAAATAAATGTTTCGCATATTTCATACGCTGCTACAGCTAAAATAGGAAGCTCGGGGAGAGGATTCCATGCAACTTGCTCGATATTTTCTCCCAAGTCCCACGTCTGTAGACATCTTCCCGTTTCAACTTCCCAAATGCGAACAGTTCCATCCTTAGAACCTTAAAAAATAGCGCGCGCTCTATTAAAAGTGAAAACCATATAAACTAGAAACATCCCATAAAATTCAAAAGTAACAATAAAGGCCGAACCAGATGCGATCCACTGTCCTGTGGGTTCTGTAGTAATGGTCGTTACTGGGCCCTTATGTCCTTTGTACTCGAGATAACAAGTCGTGGGGTATGGTTTAAGATCTCTACGGCTCGGGAGCTTCGGTTTCAATGACTCAGGATCAATATTAATCTGGATAAGTTGAGCAAGTAATCATTTGGGTCATATAAATCTGTAGACCAAATGAAAAAAAATTACCAGCAGCATTTAGGCAAGTATTCTTAGGTAAACATACACGTTTCTTGCGAACTCGTGGGCATAGATAGAGATCCAAACAACGATCAAAAGTTTCTTGGACAGCTTTCTCATATGCGGGAACACTTCTCAAGGAGGTGAACCTAATCACATTAAAAGTTTAGTTTAACATACTATTAACTATTAAGGTGGATCAACACAGCCAAAGTGAAGGATTGTCAAAATAAAAGGATAAAATAGGACAGATAGGTACTGTTTCGGGATAAACTTAGGCCGGTCTTCCTCAAACATGAGCTGGTACGAGTTTATTTCTTCTTGTGTAGGGATGTATTCTGGAGAAGGATTATAAGACTCCTCATGACCTGGAAATTATTCACATCAGAAAACAAGGATAATCGTCGAAATAAAATGAATATTATTAACAACAGATAAGTGCATGTAAACGTAACAAGAATTACCCCATCATTACATAAGCAAGCTCACCTGGCAATTTAGGCTTTGGTGCAGCAATATATGCCAATCCCTGTCTTTCCACAGAGCTTGAATCGTCCCACAATGAGTACAATTTAGGCTCCTCCTTAGGCTTATCGTCAAGTTTAATCCGACCCTCCCTGATGGCTCGGATATACCGGACTACCTACAATTTCAAAAAGTATCTAGATTAAATATGATTTGAAGTGCATGTCCAAGCAGCCTTAAAACATATTAACTTTCATTACAATCATTTGGTCATTGAGATACTAAAACTATAGCATGGTCAGAATAGAGAATTGCGTCACCAGGCTGTCTGAAGATAAATTGGGACAATAACAACCAAGCTAGTTTATTTGGAAAAATCTCTACGTGCGACTATTTTCAAGTGTGAAATCACATTTATAAATGGTCAAAGGGAACAACATCGTATTATCGCCATGAGATAAGACCTTGATAAAACATAAATACACAGAAACTAAGCTTAAACCTCAAACATTACAAGGATCAGCGGGTATATACAGACCCCAACATGTAAAATGTATTGTAAGTTTCGATAGAATTGATATCTCCCGCAATCCTTCCCAAGAAAAGGAAAGCTATAGCTATTGGAATGACTCTTTTACCTATTATCCAGTCAATGATGTTTTGGAAGAGTTTAATTCAATACTTATTTATTTGTGCCTGTGTATGTGTGTGTTGCGCGTCTACAAATGAAGAAAAATAAAAGTTGTTTTGAAAACTGAAAATGAACTTCGAGTAAAACTTATTGTAGGATGGGAATAATGGCACTTGATAAATGGTTTCTCAGTAGAATACATATTAGATATTTAGATGTGAATGGTGTACTCTTGAGATAATGAATGGTGTACTCTTGAGATGGTTGTATAATGATGATACTTGCAATGATTCAAAAATATTACATGTGATGATACTTGCTCAGAACGCGCCTATTTTAAATTTTTGACAACAAAGGAGAGCAGGAAAGAGAAGTGGAAGCATTACAAGATATTTGATAACCGGGTATCACTCAATGCTTCAGCTATGAAACGAAAATACAAATCAGGCCAAACCAATAAGTTTGAATATATCTACCTTTTTACTCTCCCACTTTGAGGGAATAAAACGCCTCTTCGGTTCTGGTGCACCTGAAAGTGGTTGTCCAGCACCATCCCACACGAACCAATCAACAAAGGGCTGCACAGAAGCCAATGAATAGAAGAAATCCCTTTAATAAGGAAGGGGTAACACAATCTACAGAAGTAAGATTAAGAAATAATTAAATTATATGACAGTGAGAAGTGAATAAAATGAGAATACACACAGCATATGGATCAAAATCAGCATGAGGCGCCTTTCCTTTCAGTACTCTGCTAATCATTTTGGTCTCTTCTTTGGTCAACTCTACTTCCTCATCATTATACTCATCATATATCTTACGCCTGGACATTACAGGCCAAAAATGGGGATATTACATCATCAAGCATCCTATTTAAATATGTAATGTAGGCTTGGCATACATGTTTAGGCAAGTGTTAAAACTTACAACATGAATTCAAACAGTCATTTATTTGTAAACTCACCAACTCTTTGAATCATCAGCCCTTGCAAGATGAAAATCCAGCATGCTCTGTCTTTCTTTCTTCTTAATCTTCTTCCCAGCTAAATCATATCCGATATGCTCCTCATCCTTGTACCACTCGAGAGGAACATTTCCAACGGTGTTACGTGGTGCGACCTAATTCGTCGCACAAAAGAGAAATTTTGACCAAAATCAGCAAAATTGATAAGTACGCAACTTCGAGTAAATAACATTGTTATCAAATGGCGAGGCGGATTTTTGATAATCTTAGTAATATAGCAAGGAAAAAAATAAGAAAAAATCAAGTAATATAAGAGCACTTTTAGACTAGTGTTTATAGGCTGGAATACAGAAAGCCGAAAGAGGAATTCAAAACAAACCTCGTCTTCAGATGAATCACTCTCCTCAACTACATCGCGAGAATCGTCACTTTTACTTTCATTGCCATCTCCAGTATGAACATCTCCACGTGAATGGTCCACATCATCACTAGCGTCTCCGGCCTCATCATCATCACCTGATTGAAAGTTATCCTGCCATGACGAAGAAGAAGAGGACAAAAAAAACTCCTTTAACTAAATATCAAAGATTGCTCATTCAAGAATACAAGAATGTAGATAAGAAGTTCATATTTTAAGTTTACGATCAAGGGATGGATCAAAAAGTAGTTATGGTCATATGATAAACACGGTCAGCAAGTGGTATTTAATAAAATCAGATTCGTTTAATAAGACAGGAAGACTGCAGGAGTGATTGGATATAGATTATTGTGGAAAATAAATTGTATGGAAATTGGAAATAGTGAGTTAAAGTGTAGAAAAAAAATCTGTTGGAAGAATGAAATATATTTCAGATAGTCAGTGGATATGAGATAAAATGAAATGATCAAAGTTGTTGTGATAGAAAATTAGTAAAATAATCAATGGTAGTTAAAAATATGTGAGAGGATGATAAGTGAATTTTGTTGAAACATGTATAGTAATGATAAATTTTTATTGTTTATAGTAATAAGGGCTCTTAAATCCTTGTTTTCCTGATGCGTGCCTCCACTGAAGACCTTAGAAATAGCACCTACATGATACCATATTCCACTGCATATGTAACTCTATTTAACAACAACCGAGTTCCGCAACCATTTACCTGATACGAAGCATCCAAATGACTAAGCTAATATCATAACATATAAATAATAAGCTCGCGAAGAGTAATAATTTGACATCCTACGGTATGTGTGCAATATGCAATGAGGGTTTTCACTACCAAATGAAGTGCCATTGTTCCCAAGTTGATAAGACACTATATCACACAAAATGAACACTACAGTTGGGATCTAACTTTCCAAACGCATATTTGGATCATGTTGGCCCATATTTTCGTGAGCGTCTGAATCTGATCAAAATCATTTAACATCTATAACGTTGATGTTCAAAGACATTCCAACTTTAGGAAGTTAACCATTATGACTAGTGAAGACTCTTCAAGAGGAATAACATATGAAGAAACGAGAATCACCACCATGTACCTCATCCTCAGAGAAGTTACTTTGCTCGGATCCAGATTCACTTGATGAGTCACCTTCTTCAGATAAACTCTAGAGAAAATAGGAAACAAGACAGAATTAACTAGTTACATTCTTTTTAACCATAGGGGCTCACTTTTTATCTTGACACAACATTATATTACTTCACACAGGCATTTTTTTTTTTTTTTTTTTTTTTTTTTTTTTTTTTTTCTTTTGAGAACTCTACACTAAATTATCTGACCTTTCTCTACGTCTAGATATTATAAATGAACCTAAAAGTATTATTAAATCAAAGTTTGTTCGCTCATACAAATCGAAAGGTACAGCTCCATTGACAATCGAATGCTCAAGCAGACAATTGCTTTCTCCAAAAGTTCCATTCTTTGCAATAAAAATGTTGTCTCTCACATCAAACTATGAAGGTCTTCTAACAGTTTCAAGCAGTATAGCAGCCTGACTCCAACTTAAACAACCAATTAACAGAAAGAATGGACACACATAGAAATTGAAAAAAAAAAAGAGATACATTACCTCGTCCTCATCCTCATCCTCTTCCGGTCCAGAATCAAAAGGTGAATCATCAGAGCTCTCATCTTCTGTCTCTGCTTCCTTAATCCTTCTCAAATTTTCCTCTATGTTTTTCTCCTTCAATGTCTCCAAGATTTTCTTTCCCTTATCCTTGAGCTTTGGTTTGTCGGAGCTGTTTTGCTTCGGCTGCCTCGTCCCCATTTTGGGTCTTTGGATGTGCGCAGACATGAAGTTTCAGGGTTTTGTAGAGGGGTTAGCGTTTTGTCACAGTGATGGCGTCGGCGGCAAATTCAAGGAAAAAGAAGGGGCAGTTTAGGTAATTGCCACGCATCCGAGGCTACATTTGATATATTTTTTTTCTTTTTTTCTTTTTAATGTAAACAATTAATATATAAATATTAGGGACGTGTATTCACGATTTCTAAAGATTTTTTAAAGTAATGATAAGGAGTCAATTGTTGGTTCTGTTTTTTTTTGTGTATTCAATTTAACTTTATCTTGAAAAGAGCCTCTTTTGCTCCCTACTCTGGTATTAACTATATCCATTGGCGATTGGACATCTGCCCTTTACCCGCCGCTGCCCGCGGCAAGGAGCCGTATGCAACTCCCCTTTCTCTTTCGGAGGTTAGGAGCCCTCAAAAATAGGCAACCCCGTAGCCCATGCCTTTGGTCGCTGCTTCCCTGTTGTATAAGTAGTGGTCAAGAAAAGAGTTGGGTACCCGATGTAAAGGTAAACTACTTTGATAACGGCGTAGAAGTCATACATATCTGTTGTTCGCTTCTCAGAAGGACACTACTCTTGTACATCTCCTTGGTAGTCGACACAGTCTCTACCGTGATACTCCCCCACCGTCTCACTGGCCGACCTTAAAACTTTATAAGACTTTTAAAAGTCTTGGATATTTATTTGAGATTTTAAAAAGTCTTACAAAATTTGAGGTATTTAACTTATTTGAGATTATGATTTTTTAAGGGGTGTATTCGTTTGAGATTTCAAGTGACATGTAGAGACTTTTTGAAATTTTTAAAATTTTCAAATTTTAGAGGAATCATGTGAAATTTTAAAGACAGCAAATCTTAAAAAAATGGAGGGCAGCGCAAAATACCCCGCCGTCTTTGGTCACAAACATCGAAGTTTGGGACTCGCGACCGATTCACATTGGAGATGTCGTGGATCATCTCTTGGGCCAAAAGGTTGTCATCACTAATAACCCGATTCTTGACGAAATGACTAGTTTTTTATTCCTCAAAACGATAGAGGTAATATATAACTAAAACTACACAAAGTGCGAAAAAGAAAGCAGCCAACAGTTGAGAGTATAACCAAAGGCCAAAAACATGGAGGACAATACGAATATCGCCTAAATCCTAAACTAGCAACGCTAGAAAAACAACTCAAACGACACTACACTACAATAAACACAATAAAAAAACTACGAAACGATCCCAACGGGATAATGCCCAAGTGTGGGATCCCAACAGGATAATAAGTTCACACTCGGGCTCACAGGGGCCAAACGGCCCAAATAAAAAACACTGGACATGGACACACAGGCAAAAGAGCCTAAACCAAAACACAAAACCTACTACAGAACAAGACAAAGAAAAACACAAGCTAAAAAAGAGGGCCCTTCCACAGTAATCAGCCAGTCCTAACCAGCGGAGAACAGTCGATATCAAAGAATAGTCTAAGTCCAGGGGACGGCTTCCGAAATTGCCACAAGGCCTATACAAAAAGTCGAACCCGAACACAAGCCAAACTCTGAAACGACCCACCTCAACCGGAGGGACAACCGAACCCGCACCCACTCTAGCACCGCCCGAGCACGCCTAACACCACTAGCCGAGCTAAGGAGCACCAGAACCCCGCCGTCTAACACCACTAGCTGAAAAAGGGGGGGCGGCTCGGGCCTTCAACTCCGACACACCATCAGAGCCTCGCCCCGCCTCTCGACCTACAAACCAACCAATATCACCGTAGACTACCGGCACCAGGACGAGAAAAACCCAAACGGAGTTCCGTCGGAAAACAGAACCACCCGAGGGCCCTCCGTTCGCACACAAGATCAGAGATAGTAACAGAAACAGAAATTGGATAAAGACTCACATCCAATCGAGACAAGCAGGCAAACGATGCCACCAATTGCAAGTCGATCGACGACCAAATAATTGAATGGCTTATTTGTTAGTGAAAGAATACCCTTTTTTTTATAATGTCAATTATATTAAAGAATTTAGACTAACACATATTAAGTTGAAATTGAAATTGTATGCAAGAAAAATAAAATTGGTAAAGCCAAAGGATTTAGTTGTCGTTTCGAGGAAAAAAAAGCGAAAGGATTGACAAAAAAATTAAAAATTTCTCGTTGCCGTTCTCGAACTGAGGCAACTACTCTACTATATGTCCATTAACATGAAGGATTTGAGTTGTTATTAATTCATGCTTCTGTGTGACCCGATATCCTTTTTCTAGACAATGTCTAATTAATTAAACTTTTGTGCGGGTTTTGTTTTACGTAAGGAAAGAATTTTGACAAATAGAAGAGAAGAGAGGAAATAGGATGTAAAATAATTCTATTTTTTTCTTTTTTCCTTCTTTTTGTTCTTTTTGTGTGATATGTTCTTTGGTTAAAAAAATTAAGAAGAGACAAACAAGCGAATTGAATTTATTGCATTATGTGTCATATGAGGTGGCTTTAATAATTTTAATTGTAATATCCAACATGGCATGAGTTGACTTTAAACAAGATTTTCCATCCAAAATCAAAATCCCTTCGTCCCCAAATCCACCTGCAACCTCAAACAATAGATTCAAAAATTAAAAACCCTTCGTCCCCAAATCAACCACTGCCTCTGGTCCCCAACGCGTGGAAAAGTGCCGTTGTCTCCTATTCCTCCCTCTGGACAAGGCGACACCCTCCGTAATGTCCCGTTTGACACCCGCGGGCCAATCAGCGGGCCGCCGCCGTAGGCCAATGCCCCCCGGTTGGGTAGGGGCTACAGTCGGAGCAAATGAATATGCCGGGAGGGTGATGGAGACGAGACCGCGATAGCATTTTTAAACAAATATGACCGTCTTCGTATCTAGCATTTTTAAGTGTCGTTTCAGTCTTTTATTTAATGTTGGGCTATTACTATTATTTTCAGTTGTTGGGCCTTTTGTTAATGGGCTTTTGCAGTAGGGCAATAATCTGTATATGAATAATCGTCTTCTCTTTGGAGAGGGCAGACTGGATTTTTATGAAATTTGAGATTTCTCTTGAGAATTGATCGTGTTCTATCCCGTTCATACATACGCTCTACATCAGTTGGTATCAGCAGACCAGCAACGATCAACAATGTCGCCGAAGAGAGGAACCGACAACGCCATAGACGAACGTTTCCAACGAGTGGATGAACGTTTTAACGGAATGGACGAACGGTTCACGGGAATCTCAACGGGGATCGAGGACTTGCCCGACGCGATGCGAACGTTGATGCTCGAGGTACGTACTAACCGTGGAGCGGCTGACCGCGGCGCACACGGAGGGTTTTGCGGCGGCCGTGGAGGTCGGGGATACGGCGGGGCGCCCGGTCGTCGATCACCATTTCCGCCGTCCGGCGAGGACGAATCGGAGGATGAGACGCGGACGGTGGACAATCCGTTTGCAGATGCCAATCCGGCTCGCGGCAGGAGAGAGGACCTGCGCAGGCGAGCGGCGCGTGATGACAGGCGCGAGGACGTAGGGTTTTGGGGCGGCGGCTTCAACCGGCGAGACGGCAATTTGGAGCGTGGGCGCTCGCGGAGCCGAGGTGGAGGTGCCTTTGAGCGCGACGGCGTGTGGTTGGAGGAGGACGATGAGTTCCGTCGCGAGGGACGCCGTGAGGACGACGTCTGGCAGCGGGACAGGTATCGGGCACCTTTCGACGACGAGTTTCAGCAAGACGGTGGGTTCGGTGAACGTCATGGACATGCTGAGGGTTGGCGGAACCGACGCGAGGGTATGCGCCCGATAGAAGGGGGCGATGCGTCGCGTTGGGAGTCGGGGTTTCAAGTGGACATCCCTGAGTTTCATGGCGGGGTACAGAGTGACGAATTCCTCGATTGGTGGGCAGCAGTGGAGGCCGTGTTCAGATTTAAGGGAGTGCCCGAGGAGCGGCATGTTGATCTGGTCGCCACGAGGTTTCGCGGGCGCGCTGCGGCTTGGTGGATGCAACTTACGAGCGTGCGGCATCGTCAGTGCAAAGCACCGATTTCTTCCTGGGTCAAATTCCGGGAATGTGTGGAGCGTGAGTTTTTGCCATTCAACTATGACAGTCTCATTTACCAACAACTTCACAACTTGAGGCAGGGATCGCGTTCGGTGGACGAGTATACTGATGACTTCTATCGCCTTTTGACTCGTGTGGAATTGCGGGAAACAACTAGTCAGTTGATTGCTCGTTATGTGGCTGGCTTGCGTGTGGCCATTCAGGACATGCTTAATTTTGTTCGGGCGGATTCGTTATCAGACGCGCACCAACGAGCCCGGTTCGCTGAACAACAATTGGCCCGAAAAGCGGGCCCGACATTTTCACCGTCCACGCGTGTAGGCCTGGGTAGTAGTGGCATGTTGCAGCCCGGTCGAGCGAGTCCATCGGCGGGAACTGGAGCGGGGCAGATCAGAGCAAGCCGTCTCACGGGATCGACCGGCGGTCAGGCGCGGGCGGGTGGCGCAGGAGTTCCACCGTCGGCGGCGGGGCAGCGTGTAGGTACGGGCATGTGATGTTTTGGCTGCGGGGAGGTGAGTCATCGTCAGGCGGCTTGTCCTTGCGGCTCGGGCTCTCGGGGGTTATTCATTGACGATGGCGGAGATATAGAAGAGAACGCGGAATATGACGGACAGCCAGTTTATGATGTTGAGTCGGGACTGCACGAGGAGCATCATATGGGAGATGTTGGGACGACCCTTGTGATTCGTCGCTCGTGTTTAACACCACGGTCGACAGGTGATGAGACGAAGGAGCGACACCATATCTTCGAGTCGACATGCACTATCGGCGACAAGGTGTGTCGCTTTATCATTGACTCGGGCTCCTGTGAAAATGTGGTTGCACAAGAGGCCGTTGACAAATTACGTCTCTCGAGCGAGCCTCATCCCCAACCCTACACATTGGCATGGATCCAGCGAGGTAATGCTATTACGGTTGACCGCCGGGTCTTACTGTCTTTGTCCATTGGGGCGAATTATAGGGATAAAGTATGGTGCGACGTGGTTCCTATGGATGCGTGTCACGTGTTATTGGGCAGGCCGTGGCAGTATGATCTGGCAGCAACTCACAACGGTAGGCTTAATACATACAG